ATGAAGGAGTACTATGATGATAAAAAAGGTGTCAATATGCATTATAAGCCCCAGTTAGGGGATAGGGTCTTTATGAAGATGCCGAGAGAAAAAGCACTAGCAGGACACCCAAAGTTGACGATAGATTGGAGTGGACCGTTTAGAGTTATTGAGTGTAGTGATAACTCGGCACTGATAACTTGTCCAAAAATGAAGACCTAGTCCGAGTACAATTTGACTTGTTGCTCAAATGCCCAGATGAGATTAGTGATGAACCAGTGAAAGTTGTTTCTAAGAGAAAAAGGGGTAGAAAGAGCAAGAATAGTGAGAATGATATCTTCTCTGCACAGGTTCTAGTAAAGAAGAACATCTGTTTCAGGTCGAAGGACGAGTACGACGTCGCCGATGTCATGCATTTCCTTCACGTCGGATTTCGCTGTGATGGCCAACCGTTCCCCGCGGTCGAAGGCAGAGGGAGCTTCCCTCTTGATTCTTGTCGTTGTAGTCGTACTACTCGAGTTGGTCAGCTTCTTTCGGTCGTACCGCAACCGGCGTGCGATGAGCGTATCGAATGCGTGCTGGATGCCGCACGAGTTCCTAGCGATATGGTGGGATTCAGGATCCGTTTCTCTAAAGATTCAGCGGATCATGGACAAGTCATACAAGGTGCTGACTCCCAAAGCGATAGGATTCGCATACGCTTTCTTTCGACATCGCTGTCTCCATGTCTCGATTATGGCGGGGACTGTGCCGCAGGAAGCCCCGTTACGTCATTCGCAGCTCCCGGGATGGCCTTGCGATGCAACGAGAGTCATCGAATACGGGTGGAGAATCGCAAAGAAGCTAGAATGGGAGACTATTGCGCAGTCAGTGCAGAATGGGCAAGAACATGGGCGTATCGTCGTCGTCGTACCGGAAGTCCTGCACAGGATCAAGTTTTGTCACACGAGCCCAAACATGGCCATATTCTATTACAAGTCATTCCGAGAGATACGTGCTACGAATACGGCCATCTTCGCAGACGACGTCGGAAATGTGATTCTTGTTTTGCCACCGAGAGAACCGGCTGACCCATACTCTTGGTTGCAGTTCGTCAACGCACTCAATTTGTGGCTTTCGTGTGGAGCTCATGTAATCGTCGTCAACGGACCCAGAGCAGTCGAAGAAAACAGTTGGGATCGATTGAACGCCAAGACAAGGAGTCATATCAATGGATATGTGGACACGTATCCATCGTTTCTCAATCAGATACACTGCCTCGTCCCTGCCGAACCTGGAATTCTCAGTTCTACAATGGCTTGTCTGAAGGTTGGCGTGGTTCATAACCCCGATAGGTGGTGGCCAGTGGAACAAGCAGTCGAGTTTTTCGAGTTTCTCAGACAAAGTGAAGGATTACGTGAAGCTCGACGCTGTAAAGATTCCGAAAAGCATGAAGCCGAGAGGAAATCCGTCGGAAGGAAGAAGCGCGCAGTCGTCTGGTGGGCCGGCGATAAAGGATGGCCGCATCTCTAAGCGCCACCTAAAGCGCGTGGAAAAGCGTAAGATGCGGAGTCTAGAGAGGGCCACCGCGAAGAAGTTGGACGAACTGAAAATGTAAGATCTGAGGACAGATCTACCTGGAGGGGGGGGGCATATGAAATGAAATGAATTATTTGAAGTGTTCAAAAATGTTGAAGTTTGATTTTTTGTACTTGTAGAACAGTCTGATCGGCGCGCAGCATGGCGGGAAAAGAAAGATGGCGCGGAAATCGACGTGGGGGAATGGGCGCCAAAAACGTTCAGTCGTCTTGTCGATTGGCCTCGAGCCTCCTCGCTTTGACTTTTGCTGTGCGGGCATATGCCCACTTTCTTTGTATTGTTATTTTCCGATTGGTAGTGAATATTTTTGTTTTCCTTTCTGTGTAACTCTGGACGCCGAATAAATTTTAAGTGCGGCAATTCATTTATCCTGGTAAACGGTGAAAACCTGAAAATACTTGAAAGCCGTACATAACTTACCATGTGTCTTAAAACCGGATGTTTTCATAGGCTCCGTAAAGGTCGATACGAACGAAATGTTTGTGCTATAATATTTTGTCATTTGATTAGGAATGATGCTAACTATTAATACTGCTAGTCAGTTTTTTCGATGTTTTGTAGTGCTCCACAAATCCGCGTTCCCAATTTCTCTGCAGCACTAGTTCTGCTTCACGAAACGCGAGCAATGGCACCTTTGCGCTCCTTGATAATCATCGACCTGCGTTTACGCTCCCCCCCCCCCTGAGCAGTCAAAAACGCCCCTCGATGGGATTCGCACGATGATGCTGTACCACCGCCCATATATTGCGCCATGCACCCTTCCCCTCCTTAGCCTCGAATACGACCAGTTCCGTTACGATTTCCACCACGATGGCGTCGGGCCAGTCGTGCGCCAGTCAAGCGCATCTGTGTGAAAAGTGGATGTGAAATCAACGACGATGAAAAAGTATACAAAAATTCAAAATCAGTGTATCGGCACTTTTCCACTAGTGTGTAGGTGCGAAACAGCAAGTCAAAAAGGGTCATAAAAGCAGGATTTATGATATAAAACCTGAAAATTTATGACTGAAAAGTAGCGTAGTTGTCGTGTGGGAAGCTTGCGGTGGTGTCTGCATAATAAACCGTTCGGTGTCAAAAGTGTGGTAGTCGTAATTTGAAAAAAACCGAATTTGAAGTGGAAAATGTATATAAGAAGCAATTTTCAACAACAAAAAGGGAAGAGCTGAAAAGGGCGTGGGTACACATATAAATACATATATATTTACCAGTCGGCTCGCCGGCTGACGCCGGCGCGCTCCTTCTGATACGGCCCGGCTGCGCCGGGCGGGCGCGGCTTCGCCGCGCGTACCTTCTTTCACATATTTCTAGACTCAACTGATATCAGGCTTTTGTTCTGTACTCATGGTTAAAGCTTCTCGACAAATACATCATCCCTGCTATTTTGACTATTACTGAGTATGGAGTGGTACTAAAGTGCGTATTATGGGCACAGGCGAGAGAATAGCTGGGGAATGTGTGGCGAAGCCGTGCCCGTCCGGCCAACTTGGGCCGTATCACAGGAGGAGGAGCGCTGGCATCAGCCGCCGAGCCGACTGGAATCTAATACCTATGACGACCGGTGGTTAAGAGTACGGCAGAATGCGCGCTAAAACTCAGTACGTCGTGCGCTGCGTGCGTCGTCGCGCAAGTACGTCGCGCGCCCCGCCCACTGGGAGCGGGTTACAACACATCACAGACACACTCAACTCTTGCCATATCCACAGTTGAGGTCCTGCACATCTCTGCTTACATGTTGACGGTGTCTGGACCGCTCTGAAACCGTTTTGCAGATTTTTTGTCTGGCTCCGCCCACCTCGGGCTGGCCCCGTCCACAACATTTATGCCCCACATTTCTCAATGGGCGACCAACTCAATTTGTTCCGGTTTTTGAAGTGCTCTGGGACCAATTTTTGTCTGGTCCCGCCCACCTCGGAGCAGGCCCCGCCCACAATGTTTGTGCCCCACAATCTTCACCCGACCCTCTGCTGACCTTAATCCACTTTTTTCCGGTGTCTGGAGTGCTCTGAAACTATTTTACAGATTTTTCGTCTGACTCCGCCCACCTCGGAGCAGGCCCCGCCCACAATGTTTGTGCCCCGCAATCCTCAATCGGCCCAGCTCTCGCTGACCTCTTTTTCCGGTTCTGGAGTGTTCTGGAACCGAGCTACAAACTTTTAAAATGAGTATCCTGCGATTTAGGGCAAGCTCCGCCCACTGTGGGCGGGTCTCAACACACTTTGAGCGTGCCCAACACTCGCCAGATATTTACATTCTGCACTGAGCTTTTTGCGACTTCTAAACACTCGCGCAACCGGGTTAGTTTTATGAGAAGCACGCCCACCTTGAGTACGCCCCGCCCATTTCGGGGATGTCTCCCACAGGTAGTCTGGCAACTCCTTGCTAACCTTATTAAACTTTTTCCCCATCTTCAGGCTGCTCCGGAAGCGAATTATGAACATTTCTCTGCGGAACCCCAAAATTTCGGCGAGTGCCCCGCCCACTGTGGGCGGGGCTTCCCATAGGTCAAGTGTGCTTTTTATTTCTTGTCCCATGCCTACCCATCCCCACCTTGACCCGACCTCTCCAAGTCGTTCTTCAGGTCGAACCGAATTTCCGGACAGACAAACTTACAAACAAACAAACTTACAAACAAACAAACAAACGGACGAAGCGAAGTTATATATATGGGGTAATATATAGCCACGCCTGCTTTTCAGCGGCCAATTCACTAATGGGAGCGAGCTCGCATTTCAAAAGAGATCTTGACGGTCCTGCGTTGACGAAGAGGACGTTGCTCGACGTTCAATGTTAAGTGAAGGTGGCGGAAAGACACGACCTCTTCTTTGACTTTTCATTCTTTGAGCTGAACAGCAGTTTCTTGATCGCACACTTAACTCTATTTTCGCTTTCGGATTCACCCTGCTGATGACCGGCTTTTGGTTGGACTGTTTCCATTTGTCCATTTGCTTCCATACCGTCCATTGCTCTTCCAACCCTGGGGAAGAGCTACGGAAAAGCTGTTTTGAGACATTTGCAACCTCCGCCCCTTTGACCACGCCCACTTTGCATCTCCTTGCGAAATTTTCACCTATCTTCAAAAGTTTCACAGTTTTGTCTGCCAGAGGAGGCAGGAGCACTCCAGAGTCTGATTTGCCACATTAGGGTTGGTTGAAGAATTGTCCGGTCTAAAAGGTGTGTGGAATTTTATATGAAAAGTAGCGAATATGATTCGAAAGGTGTTGGCATTGGTTTGAAAGATGGTGAATTTGATGGAGGGCGGTGAATTTGGTTAGTAAAAGGGTGAATTCTGCTCAAAAAAGGTGAAGTTTGAGAGAAAATGGTACATAATTATTTATTTATTTATTTATTTATTTATTTATTTATTTGCACTTATTCGTAGTTCGAAATGTGGACACATCATTAAACGGGTATTTGTTGAAGCTACTACCTTTCCAGCCTCCATTTTCTTCCACGGTACTGGTTCACGGCTTGTGCTGCTATCAGCAGTATTGAAGAAGGGATGTCCTCGGATTTCTTCAGCACCCTCCTCTGGCTTGCAAACACGACGACATCCAAGTCGAAAGGAAGGCTCTTTATGAAGCAGAGCTCTGGAAAACCTTAAGACAGTATCGAAAGCTGATGTCATAACAATGTTAGAAAATATGGAATTATAAGTGTGTTGCTTCATAAACACAAACGCCATGCAGCAATGAGACATGGTGTAACTCCAGTGATCATCGTATGGATTAGTGAACGATAGACTTCGTTTCGCAAGCGCATCAGCTTTCGGTGCTTTGGTTAGAGATTTGGATGAACCATTAGATACCCGCTATAGATCCGGTATGCAAAGTGCCAATTCAAAATAGAACACAAAGCCCTTAGTTGCATACAAATGTAGTCGGAATCACAAATGAGTTTTCGAGTGGAGTTCTCTATCAGAGCGGATTACCGTGATAGAAGACGACCTTACCGAACGCTAGCGTCTTTGTAAAATTGATGTCGCTATCGTTTAGTCAATCCAGGTACGTGGTGGCGAAAACTTACGCGATTCATTTCATTTCCCTCGAAATTAGTTCATATCTGACGGAGGGAGTGAAGAAGCTGCAACGAGGGGCGAAACGTCAAATGTCTGATGGGTTCACACTTTCACAAAAATATCTTCAAAAGCGCATAAGCAAGAAATTGAGTTGTAGCATTGTCTATGGCGCACGTAATCTTTCACCACATGTATACGGACCAATGGAGGTATATCATTCCCGAAGGGCTAATAGCTCATATTATACTATGTCTATCCACGGTACAGCATCGTGATGGGTAAAATCTCGGTGTCATTACAGCTACCCCGCCCCCTCCCCAAAAAAAGATTCTGGTACGACGCTCCCCGCCCCCCTTTTCGCTACTAAATGTTTGCTCTCACGAGAAGGATCAGATACGCAAAGCGCTAGTGGACGCGTTATGGTTGGGTGTATATCATCTAGCGCGGCCGCATTGCCATTGGGACACATCGGTCGTAACTGCCACCTACACTCCGGTCATGAGATGCGTATTATGTACCGGGCAACTCGTCCACGTCTGTTAATTCCTTAAGTGACGTACTTGAACGACTTACATTGGGAGTGCGCCAACATAGTTGTCGAAATGCGTGCGAATGCCTTAGTTGACCATTTTCCTCCGATCTGAGCTATTTTTCATTATTTTCGGCCCCGACATCTCTTCCCAATGCTGTTAACTACCTATAAGGGGTTATATCAGCACTTCTGAGTTTTGATATATCCTACTTCAAAGCAGCTTTTTTTCGATTCACGATGGTGCTCCTCCGCACGTTGAGTCCAGTTCACTTAACTCAGGTAAGAATCCACCAGAAAATTTGTGATTAGTAAAAATAACTAATTTTTTCTGATGCACAGCCATTGCTATAGCTGCAATGAGATTCCATTTTGGCTCACCTTTTTCTT